GATTTTCGTCCAAAGACACACCGAAACACCAATTTCTCAGAGAGCAAACATCTTGAAGCGTTAAAACTTGCCTAACGGAAAACGACATGTCACAATCCATAGAACGGGTCGGGAGATAGATGCAGTCCTATGTATCGAACAACTAGACAAAAAGTTTGTTACCTTTTTCTTTGATACTTTGAACTTTTGAGTTTTCCTTTTATTTTCTTTTATGCATATTTATGTGGTATCACCTCCGTTGAACTCGGTTTGCATTACGGCCCCAACCACTGTTTGATCTCGTCTGCCTAAGATCAATTCACAACGTGGGTAGGCAGACTGGAGGTCAATGCAGTTACATTGGTAACCAGGCGTTGGAAGCGAGTTGGGAACGACGAGGCTGATATCAAATCTAACCAGATTCCCACCCTAATCACCATAAGGTTAGAACGTCACATTTGGGTGCCGCGACCGATACCAAGCCAGTTGGTCGTCACAGGACGAGACAACACGACTGACGCGACAGGCGGACGTCACGTTTGGAGCAGCGACACCCGAACGAAGCAGCGAGGAGCGAACGGCTGGCGCCGCGGCGAGGACGTCACAATTGGTGCTGTTTAGGGACGTCACAGTTGGTGCCGTGACCAGGATAGAACGTCACAGTTGGCGCTGCGACCAGGGGACGACGTCACACATGTTTAAATCTAAGGTTGACTGTTATGTTTCCCACTTTACCCAATAAAGTGTGTCTCTCACTCTGTAATCCTCTACTTCAAGTGGCTCTTGAGTCTTACATGGTCAACGTCACTTAAAAAAAATGGAAAAAATCCTCTTTTTAAATAATTAAAAGTAAAAATATCCAAAGAAAATGAACAAAAACAGAAGATATAAAAAAAACAATGTCTTTTTATATCTTTTATTTCAAAACAAAAAGTTAAAGCAACAAAATCTCCTTTGTTTAATAATGATGATTTTTATAGTATAATGAGGCACGTTGCTTATTGTTATCGAATGAAAGTTATCTCCCCTTTCGATTAATAAAAAAGAAGAGATTAGTTGCATTGTGGTTTTTATTATAAAATAATCATTTGGGGGATGTGTGGACAGCATCAGTATTGTAGTATAAACAACAGGTTGACTTTTTGAGTGTTGAAAAAACCCAACTGGGCCTGAGCAGATTGGTATGCTTAGAAACAAGCAGCCATAATGATTGGTATGCTTGAAAATAAGTAGCCAAGATGAAGACTGGAAATCACATCGAGTTACAGTGTTCCTTCAAGTCGAAACAGCTCCAATGAGGATGAACACAAGAAATTTCTTTAATGATTTTATGTCGAACCGTTAATAAAATTAGTTTTTTAGGTCTTAAAAATACCTGTCATTATTTGTTGAAACTTGACTAATGCATGGAATAATAATACAACACAAAATGTACTTAGAACAAAATGTATTGAAACAAGAAAGTGTACACAATATTTACATATAGTCTTTTGTATATTCCTGGTAAGACCGTTCCTGGAGAATGTGTTGACTGAGTCGCAGTCAGGCAGAGTCTCTGTTTGAATGTCTTGATTCCTTCCTCTCTTCCCGGTACCAACCATATTTATATGGTCGGTACTCCACTATGCAAATTAGGTGGATCCTACCACAACATTATTAAAGCTTATTTAGACTGAATTATTATTCTTAAAGAAGTGGCTACCATTATTTAAGTAGTATTTTCTATCAACTTTAAAGATACTTAGATACTTTGAATACTTAGATACTTTTGTATTTTATACAAGACATACATAATTATTTTTCTTGTTTATATCAGTTTTTGTTATATACTGTACCCATGAACACTAATGATTATGTCCCAATCCTCATAAACACGTTGGACACTATTGTAAGTGGGGGTAATATGTTGTCAAAGTAGTCCACCACTAGCAGTGGTTTACCTATTTCACGTCGCTGGCGAGTATTGTATTTTTTTGATGTTATAAAGATTACCATTTCATTTCCAACTTCCGTTTTGGTTATTCCTCATTCACTAGCCTTTTCTGGGTTACAACAGTTAAAACGTTAAAGGCTTGGAACGAGAAATCAGCAAGCTGGGTTAAAATTTCAGTCAAGATCTTATATTCTTCTGCACAACTACACTTAGGAAAGGTATGAATCCATCCATTCTTCGGTTATGCGTTAAATGGTACGGCAGACTGGAGTTTCTAGCCATGATCAGCAATTAGTAGAAGGACAACTCTGAATTCAAAACCATACATGTCCCTAGTGAGGCGCGTATTTGAACTGTAACTAAGTTCCACTCAGCATAGTTGCTGCACAAATCACATATTGGCTTTGTGGGTGTTGAAGAAATACAAATACGCCTTAACAAATTGATATGCTTAGAAGCAATCAGCCATGCTGTAGATGAGAAATCCCACTGATTTACAGTGTGCCTTCAAGTCGGAACAGCTTCAATGATGATGGGCAGTGTAACAGTTGTCAACGTAAAAAGTATATTTCGCGAGCCGAGTTCTAATTTCGACTAAATTTTCTTCGTACACATTCCTTTCTTCGGAAAAGCTTGAATTCTAATAGAAGTAGATAGGTTTGCCTATCACCCGATTCACTCTCCACCCTGATCTTTTGAAGAAGAGAAGAGATTTATCGATTATTTCCTGTTCATGATTGTGTTTCCGTTTCTTTCTAATGTCTTTTGTATTCCCTTACACTCCCTTGCATCTTAGTGACATTATCGCCTTACTTGAGTCAAATTGATTAAAAATATCTTCTCACTCCAGCTATAAAAGTTAAATAACACAGTCGACAGGACTTTAGATGGAAACCAGTCTCAGAAAAGAAATATTCTGAATTCAAAATGGCGGAAGAATCAATGGGAAACCACAGTGAAGTAATTGGAGGAGGCAAGGTGGGATAATGGATAGCGACTCGGATTGAAGAATCGGAGAGCAGAGTTCGTATTCCAGTGAAATCCTTTACATTCACTAATACCCTTGGGAAAAGTATGAATACGCTTTCTTCTCCCTCCAACTATGGGTAAATAGCAGTGTAGACCTGGTTCTTTGGCCTTGGATGGCAACTGGTCTACTGCAAAAAGAAATGGCAACGTACTGCGGCAAAAATCTGTTGTATCACGCATGGCACATAACTGACTGATTCCATCTGTGTTGTTAAATTTGTGGTTAAGCCCGTCTAGACGAAGTGTTTTGAGGCGCAAAATCCATTTGTCTTCATGTTCCTCTAGTATTTTTCTGATGTTATCTTTTCTGTCTATTTCTATTTTTTCAATTATAGTTAATTTTGCATAGCTTTTAAAATCATGTTCTTCTAGGCGTAAATGTTGTTCTACAGGTAATAATCTTTCGTGGGGAGGCGACTTAATCCGATTCCGATAATTATTAATTCTGAAGTGAAAGGACCATTCAGATTCTCCCACATATTGTTTCTGGCATAGTGTGCATTCTAATACGTAAATTATGTTTTATATATTCACGCATATAAACAATGATAGACATGACAGTTCGTGTACATATTTGTTTCACTGTACCAAGTTTGACTGCAAGTAATGAATGTAATAGATTATAAAAACTACTGAATTATTATTACGTTTGTTGATTTATTTATATCACTAAGACTCTTTCCATGACTCTTACCATATAGATGTATATGCGTGGGTTAACCTAATGTCAGTATGGTGATTTTATAAGCGTAACTTAGATGTGGCACAAAGCCGAAAATATAGGACACCCGGTGAGAATCGAACTCGCTACATAGTCGTAATTGTTCTAGTGAAAAAAGCTTGCTAACCATTCCACCACCGAGCTGCCCCAAATTATCATCTAAGCGTAGTCTAGATGTGGCACAAGGCAGAAAGTATGGAGCACCCAGTGAGGATCGAACTCACTTCTCAGTCGTTATTGATACAGGGAGACAATCTTGCTAAACCTGACACCACGTCGAAGTGCCCAACATAATGTCATTAAGAATGCTTGCGTGTTTACAAAACTGTCCCGCCTATCTGTGCATGTCTGAACATATATAATATGAATTATACACATCTATTTGCTCTTCTTCGATGTCGACTGTTATATTTAACAGCCCCTCCCCATGAGGGATGTATATGGCACAAGGCCGAGTTTACCGTGGGTTCTCCGAGCCTGTAGGCTCGGTCAAAAATATTCCCTTAGAACCCGCATAAACGGGTTCAGGACCTGTCTACCTCTCCGGGCGAAACTTTGTCCTTCGGCAAAGCCTCGTCCGGGTTCCTCTCTGCTCAAGGCAGAGAGTTCAACAGTAATGAACAATCTATTCGACTGTTCCCCATGTTAACATAAAACAAGTAGAGGAGTTTAAATACCTGGGAAGTGTTTTAACAGATGACCGAAATTGTGACACTGAAATCCGAATTCTGAAATCTGAATTCAAAAAACTAACCAATGTTCTATGAGTCGGAAAAATTTCACTAGAAACAAAGAAATGAGTGCTGAAATGCTATGTAATATCATTTCTCTTGTGGTGGTGAATGTTGGACGTTTTCCTCACAGAGGAAGAGAATGCTGATAGCAACAGACATATGATGAGAATACCATGGAAGGATCATGTAAACAACGCGTAAGTTTTAAACAAAAAGAACACTTCTACTTAGAATCAGAAATAACCAGCTGAAAATTCTTAGACACGTAATGAGAGAGACGGGCTTGGCAAATTTGATACTCACAGGACATATTGATCGCAAGAGTGATATGAAGAGGTAGAGAGAACGGGGAATAGAAGAGATGATAAAAAGACAAAATCTGTTAAGAACTACAAGAGATAGGAAGTTGTAGAGAGCTATGATCTCCCACGTGCTGAAAGAATACGGCACGTAAAAGAAGAAGAAAAAGGAAATAAGTTTAAGTCTTCTGAATGTTCGAGTATTCCTGTGTTAGACACTATCTAAATTCCAAACGATACGTGAATGGCTTTCAAGGCTAAGAAATCCAACTGAAAAATGGCTTCATCTTGTCGGCTCGAAAAACCGAGAGAGATCCTTCTCAATTTTACTGCCGTGAACTGCGGAAAAAATGGCACTGATATGGCAAGGAACCAAATAGAAGGAAAGCACTGGAAAAAGTGAAAGGGAGAGGGGGATATCCTGATTTGTACAACGTTAAGGGGTTAGTGGGTAGGAAGAGCGGGTGTCAGTCGAAGAAATCGTGGGTTAAAAAGGGTGGTGACCATACTGATAAGTCTGACAGTGAAGTCTGGTAACCCAACTCCATTTGGCTACATATGGACCATGGCCTGGTTGCGGGTGGCCATAGCCCAGAGAAATAAAGAAAAAGAGAGAATGGTGGTGGAAGAAAGGGATCTCTTTTTTTTCTTTAACTGGGTCGGTTGAATGTTAAAAACGAGAAAAAAAAATCTTCATAAATTATTTCCTTATCCGTTTGAGTAAGATTGCAAGGGATTATGGGATATAGTTGAAGGAGGAGTTGCTGAACGCTAATGAAAGTTTCTAGCGATACAGGAATTGGAGAACTCTTTTTGTTTTGCTGCTGTTGATGCCATTGTTAATTTTTTTTTTTTAAAGTAAAACATTTGAGGATTTTTATTTTCTCTTCTAATGAAAAAGTGTAAAAGTCAACGGAAGTTTAAAAAAAAAAATGAAATTACTCGGGTTTTCAAAAAAAAAAAAATTTAAATCGACTTTACGATTTTACGCGAACTCAATATATTTTTTTTAAAATTGACCGATATAAACGAATTTTGAAAGTTAAAATACACCAATGCTGCTAATTTAAACTAAATATAAGGTTAATGGCGTTCTTAGAAAGAGAAAAAAATCTTGGTCTTCGCCATTCTCTATGAGGATATGTTTTATGTTTCTTGTTTAGGGCGCATAATATTCTCTCGTTCACCAAAAGGCAACTTGCTTACTCATTACAATCTCTGTCTGGAGCTAAGCCTCAACTATCCTCACCAACGAGCTGCCAATTGATCCACAAGGGCCCTTTAAAACATCAGTAAAATTCGTCCTACCGCCTTTTATATCCCTCCATGGTTGTGGTGTTTAAAACTTTAACCCGTCTTATAATATTGTTTAACTAAATGTGAGATAAAATCTTAAGCTTGTGTTTGTACCAAAATCTAAGAATTCGCTAAATCTTCCTTATTGTCTTTCACTCCTAATAACCCCTTGCTTGTTAGTAGTTTACTGAAATAGTTTACTACATAATTTACACATTAACAGTTCAAATGCACAATATAGCATTGTACACAGTTCTCTATATTAAGAGCAATCATTTGTGTTCACTAGATGATTGTTCGAATCTGCCAATAATTGCTTCTGCATCCAATTCATCTAATAATTCCTTTTCAATGGATAGCAACATGTAGAATTCTGTGCCATTTTTGCCTGTGCCAATTATTACCCAAATTCGTACAATATATGTACACAGTAATTACCAAGAAATACAGTTTTTTCCCACAAAAATTTTAACGGTACTCTTTTTTTTTTCATTATTTACATTATTCGGGCTATTGTCCTCATCTTTGTCGCCATATTTATCACAACGTTTCGGCCGTTGTACGCTCCGGCCTTCTTCAGGTGGTTGGAATTTCGAACTGAACCCTTTCTTTCAATATAAGCACTGGTAAAAATGGTTGCTGAAGACATTAGGTTTATCATACCCAGAAATTCATACTCAAGGACACATGGCACAGTGGATAAAGGCGTTGGTTAGATCCAGTGACAGGACCCAAAGAGTGTGAGTTCAATACCCGGTTAAGGCAGTGGAGAACTTTCAGAGGGAAATTAGCAGGAGATAACTAATAACTGACATCCATTAAACATGGCACGTGGAACGAGAACAGTCTACCCCAGTGAGTGAAATAAAGGGTTCAATTCGAAATTCCAACCACCTGAAGAAGCCCGGAGCGTACAACAGCCGAAACGTTGTGATAAATATGGCGACAAAGATGAGGACAATAGTCCGAATAATGTAAACAATGTACATAATACCTCATCTCAGAAATATAGACAGACTCTTTTTTTTTCCATATGCATTTTTAAAATTTTATTTTTCCGTTATAAAAATTAAATAATAGCAATGGAGTTGTGGTGGGTCCCCTATTTCCATCTGGCAACCAATATTTTAGACCCAGTCCGCCACTGGTTAAAAGGTTAGATTTTGGGTCTTTTTCCTGCACTTGCTTGACGGCTGTTAGGTGCACAGAAACAATGAACAAGAACCGTGGAGATGTTATATTATGACTTGGTTCCCACAAAGCATCGTCGATTTTGCCGTTAACAAGGCAATTTCGAAAACCTACTTTCATGTAGTCCTTTGATGGTCTTGATCCATAAAATCAAAGTGAAGGCGGTACCCAAAGGCCTTTGGCAGTGACTCGCTTAATCCCTTGTAGCTAATTTTTATATCATGTTGCAAACATTGCTTCTCACCGATCAGTAAAATTAACCCTGACACGCGATGCGTATAAAAAATTTTTTTTCGATGTCTGTATAATAACACGAAA